GGTTTCTCTGTGTAGCTTTGCGCCTTTCCTGGAACTCACTTGGTAGCCCAGACTGGCCTCGAACTCACAGAGATCCACCTGGCTCTGCCTCCCGAGTGCTGGGATTAAAGGCGTGCGCCACCACCGCCCGGCCTGAATTATCTTTTAATTTGTAAAAATTTGTAATCATCTCAGCTTGTCCTCATCTTAACCTTATTCTTTAGGCAACCAGGTTATGAAAACTGAGGTCCTGGTTGGAAGGTAGAGGAGCGAGGCAGTCTTTGACAGCAACTCCTGCAAAGAAAAGAACTATCTGGGCCGTCAAGACAGCTGAGAGGGTAAAAACACTTGCTGTGTCAGCCTGGTGACCCCTGACCTCACAGGATAAGGAGAGAACCAACTCCCCAAAGTTGTTCTCATGTATACCAAAGGACACAACTGCAGTCAGGTACACATTCCATGTAAATAGTTCTTTTGAAGGGACAACACTAAGTGCTCTCCAGGAAGACAGAGGCATTCCACCTCATGAGAACTGGGGAGGAGTTTACTCTCCTGAGGGTTAGGACCCATACTGCACTGCCACTGACTTCCAGTAACACCAACTCCAGCAACAAGTACAGATATTTGTACATGTCCTAGAATTAGTCTGAAATTTGACAATAACTCAGAGCTTTTTAACTTAGTGTGAGAAATACTATTAGAGGAAAACCTCCACTGCTGTATTGACTTCTTTGAAAAGACTGGTTTTGGGGAAAAGGTGCTGTGGCCAAGTGTGTCCCCTCAATCACTTTAGGATTACTTTTTCCCCATTTTGTGACAGGGTTTCCTGTAGCCCAGGCTGGTTCTAAACTCTAAACTTCTGCCTCAGCCTCCCAACTACTAGGACTGCAGGTATGAACTACCACACTTGGCTTAAATTACCTACTTCTACACATTAATATTCTTTTTTTTTTTTTTAAGATTTATTTATTTATTATGTATACAGTGTTCTGTTTGCATGTATCCCTGCAGGCCAGAAGAGGGTGCCAGATCTCATTACAGATGGTTGTGAGCCACCATATGGGTGCTGGGAATTGAACTCAGGACCTCTGGAAGAACAGCCAGTGTTTTTAACCTTTGAGCCATCTCTCCACCCCCGGCATTAATATTCTTAAATTAAAAAAAAAAAAAGTCAAGCATGGTGGCTCAAGCCTGCAATCCCAGCACTTGGGAGGTAGAAGCAAGAGGATCATGAGCTAAGTAAGAGTTACCCTTGACTACACGGTATGTTCCAGGTAAACCTCAGCTGCATGAGACCCTATCTCAGTATATATATAGTTGTGTGTATACACACACACACACACACACACACACACACACACACACACACACTGTCTCATATCATTACTCATTTAATATCCAAAAGTTCCCACTTGTCTCACACATATTTTGTTTTTTTCCCATTTTATTTCATGTGGATGGGCGTTTTACCTGCATTTTTGTCTGTACACCACATGTATAGTATCCAAGTGGGGCGGAGGGCATCGGGTCCCCTAGGACTGGAATTAGATGGTTATGAGCTGCCATAGAGGTGCTGGGATTGAACCTGAAGCCTCTGGAAAAGCAGCCAGTGCTCTTTACCACTGAGCCATCTCTCCAGTCCCTCATGGATATTTTCCTAAGTTTTCATGTTGAAACTAGAATCTGAGAGAACTACACATTGTACTTTATGTCTTACCTTTCAATCTATAGGTTTCTCTCCCTCTTTAGAAACTTTTTCCTTTTGGCAATCTATTTGTGGTACTAAAACCGAAACTATTAAAATGGGTGTACTGATGAAATTTTAGGTGTCCATGCTAAAGACAGTGGAAACTATCTTCTCCTCACTCTTGTCTTAAGTTTCCTTTCTTTCTTTGTAAGAGAAGTTAGTAAATCCTCATCTTTGATAAAGGGTAGCACAATGTGCACATTAAGGCAAGTTTACCTACTTCAATATAGAGGCTTTTGGGGGGTTTCACATCCTGGGTGATGTCCAAGCCTTCCTCTCCTCCCAGTGACCTCATGTAAGTAGCAAGAGACTTTTTATAATGGTTGAACCACTCCATCTGTGAACATAACAATGGTCATTTACAAAGGTTTAAGAAAATTTGTACAGAGCAGTGGTGGTGCACGCCTTTAATCCCAGCGCTCAGGAGGCAGAGCCAGGCGGATCTCTGTGAGTTTGAGGCTAGCCTGGCCTACAGAGCGAGATCCAGGACAGCACCAAAGCTATACAGAGAAACCCTGATGTGGGATGGTCTATATGTCAAACTACTCTGATTGGTCAATAAATAAAACACTGATTGGCCAATGGCCAGGCAGGAAGTATAGGCGGGACTAACAGAGAGGAGAAAAGAAAGAACAGGAAGGCAGAGAGAGACACTGTCAGCCACCACCAGGACAAGCAGCATGTGAAGATACCGGTAAGCCACAAGCCATGTGGCAAGGTATAGATTTATAGAAATGGATTAATTTAAGATACAAGAACAGTTAGCAAGAAGCCTGCCATGGCCATACAGTTTGTAAGCAATATGTCTCTGTGTTTACTTGGTTGGGTCTGAGCTGCTGTGGGACTGGTGGGTGACAGAGATTTGTCCTGACTGTGGGCCAGGCAGGAAAACTCTAGCTACAAAACCCTGTCTCAAAAAAACCAA